ATATATATATATATATATATTTATTTATTTATTTTATTTTTTTCATATGTATATATAAATATATTTAATGTATAAATGTAACATATTTTTCTTAAATATATACATGCATGGGTGTGTACTTGTATATACATAATAAATATACACAGTACACATACTATTTAAACAAAAACTTTTGGATGCGATTAATCGTTTGACAGAACTAAAATATATATATATATATTCTTTTAATTTAATTAACAATCCATTAAATAATATTAAAAGATACAACTTCTGATTTTTATAATTTATTAGTAAATGTTGAAATTACCATTCTTGAGATATAAATGATTTAGAAGTATTTTTCATTGTTTATTAGTGTAGTTAACAAATGGAACCTTATTATAAAGCGTTACCATTTCTATTATTATTATACTATTTTTATCTATTATCATATTATTATTTTGTTATTTGTTATTATACACATTTTTAGCTTTCTGTATTTGTATGCACATGAACGCTAACATTGCTGTTTCTTGGCAGGGATCAGGGGAAGTAGATGTGAGCTGTGAGTCTTTGTCTACCACTAAAGGTCCTGTTCCTGGACATCCCTTTCCTTACTCTGACCACGAGGCTCTCACAGCCGAGTTCCTGTTTACACCGACTACAAGGGGAAATGGGTGCTCAGAGAGACAATCTGGCTGTGTTTCAGGTATTTGCGCTTCAATGTTGGGGTCATAAAATATTAAATGCACACACATTTTTGCTTAAACAAAAAGCATCTTGTCAATAAACCAATGCTCTTTATTTTGATGCGCTTTAATAACGTTTAAAAGAAATTGACTGCATGCATGTTTTTTGGATGTGCAACATGATTTAAAGGGACAGTTCACCCAAAAATATTAATTTACTCAATGTCATATCGCTTAAAACTTAAAAAAAAAAAAAAATTTGTTTAATGGTTTTAGGTTAAACGATTAAAGATTATTCTGCAATTGTTTTTTTGACAAAAGTAGATTTTTTTTTTGTATGTTTTTAAAAAAGAATTCTCTTCTGCTCACCAAGGCTGCATTTATTTGATTCAAAATACAGTAAAAACAGTAATATTGTAAAATATTATTACTATTTTAAATAACTGTTTCATATTTGAATATATTTTAAAATGTAGTTTATTCCTGTGATGCAAAGCTGAATTTTCAGCATCATTACTCCAGTCTTCAGTGTCACATGATGATCCCTCAGAAATCATTCTAATATGCTGATTTGCTGCTCAAGAAACATTTATTCTTATTATTATTAAGTTGTAAACAGTTGTGTTGCTTAATAATTTTTGTGGAAATGGTAATGCAGAAAGAAAGCTGAATATAAGGTTCAAAAGAACAGCGTTTATTTGAAATATAATTATTTTGTAACATTATAAATGTCTTTACTGTAACTTTTTATAATATGCTGATTTGCTGCTCAAGAAACATTTATTCTTATTATTATTAAGTTGTAAACAGTTGTGTTGCTTAATAATTTTTGTGGAAATGGTAATGCAGAAAGAAAGCTGAATATAAGGTTCAAAAGAACAGCGTTTATTTGAAATATAATTATTTTGTAACATTATAAATGTCTTTACTGTAACTTTTTATCAATTTAATCCATCCTTGCTGAATAAAAGTATTTATTTATTTTTTTTAAATCTCACTGACCCCAAAACTTTTAAATGTTAGTGTTATGTTTTTCCATTCTGTCACTTTGTTTCTTTCTCAGATAAGCTTCCTGAGCTGGTCAACACAGTCAATGAAGCTCGCACTGAAGTAAAGGTGGGTCTCCACTGTGCTGAACGCATGCGCCACACCGCGGCGCGTACAGGCATTATGGGTCTTGTCCTGTTAATGCTTGAGCTGGCAATCGCTGCTGTCCCATTGTTTGCTCTGGGAGCTGAACATCCCTTCCCCAAAGCCTCTTTCTACCTGCTGGGGGCGCTGTGCTTTGCCATCCTCCTCTCCACACTGTTGCTGTACGTCTTTTACAGCATGGAGGTGAAGGCACTGCAAGGCACTGAGGACCAGATGAGACTGGCACTAAGTAGCCTTCAAGAACGTCTTAAGGAGTCCCCCAAGGTTTTATCCTCGGACCATTTGCGAAATCCACTAGATGGCAATTTGTAGCCAGATAGATAAACCAATGTGGCATTTGAATGGAATTATGTACGTTTTATGACATCTTGTCCAGTTTTATTAACTATGCAGCTTTTTCACACTGATATCAAGGATACTTGTTCCTGGGAGCAAAGAATCCAGAAAAATAGTCAAGATGTTTGTAAAACCATTAGTTGCATGACCGATCTACTTCACTTTACTCAATTACTTCACAATGGTTCTCAACCAGGGTCACAGAATGACTTAAAATTACATATATTATTAATATATTGTTAATATACAACTTAAAATAATTATGAATTAAGAATAACAATTAAAAATTGATTAATTCATTTATCTAAATTAAAATGCTTACAATACATAAACTCAAGATGTAAACTAAAATCATATTTTTTCCCCTTATTTGAAGGACATACAATATACGTGTATACACGCACACAAATAGGTTGAGAGCCACTGTTTTAGAAGAATGGACCAGTATGAACCATGTATGATAGGTTATAATTACTTGCTAATTGAATATTGCTTTCTTTGTTAATGTTTGTAAATGGAGACCTGCTGGGCAGGTGTTTTGGTACTTTATATGTTAAGTGTTTCCAATCATCAGCTCGTGACATTTTGTGCATTCATTGTGAATTGGGTGGCTAACGGTTAAAGTTATGTCCACGATAAGGCCATTTTGGGAAACCAAAATCTTCAGTTATTTTCCGTTTCTGTTTGGGAGAGTCAAGCGGAGAAGAATAAAAGCTTAAGGTGTACTGTAACTGTGTATTTTCCTTTTGTTTAACCGGTCAACAACCTCATGTCTATCTAATATAACAGGTTTATTACATAACTGTACCTTTTATAAAAAGAATAAACAATGCACATCAATTTTTCAGCAATCTGGTGATGTTTTTACGTAGGTTTTAATGTGATCTACTTGCCACAAGGGTGCAGTGTTGGTTAAGAATTATGAGAATCTTTAGTAATTTAATAAATTGTTCATGGTAGATGTTATTACACAAATATACAGTATACTACGGTACATTTAGTAGATATTAGGACTAGTTCCGTTTTTGAAAATGAAATTTGACATCTTTCCCAAAATTGACATCTATGAATGAAAATGCTAAACTAGAGATACTTGATAGAGATAAAGATATTTGTGTGTATATAACTTAAGTACTCACAGTAAAATAGTTTTTAATTGTGTGGTTATATAGTCAGACTTAAGAAGGGAAAGCGACCTCTCCTCCTCTTTGTTGCTTCAGAACAGGACAAACCCATTCGCCGTCTTAAAAGGTATACGCTGTCATCTACTGTTGAAGTGTTCCAACATTAATGATGATACATTTGTGGAGTGGGACTTGCCCATGCAGATGATTTGGGTGCAGTTTTGTTATGGGTGTGGTTGGAGCTGCTGTCTGCACATGTGTTGTTACTAATACCGTCTGCTGGGCTGAGTCCTCGCCTTAGTCATGGAGGTTCTCAGCAGCTGTGCTCGTGGCCTCAGGATTGCACTTAAAAAGGTCTTTGTTCATAAGGAAACAATATATTAAATTAATAGGTAGAAAAACATGTTATACTATTTGCAGTGCTAGTGAAAGACAAAGTAAATGCTGAAAGTGAAATGGTACTTGAGAGTTCATTCGGGGTTGCTCCGATTGCTTCAACCCTCTGAAGACACCTGATGGGCAGTTCTCTAAACGTTGCTGCAACAACTGGATTGGGAGCTTTTTCCCTAGTAACTCATAAGAAAGGCTTTGAGGGATTATTGAAGGACTACTAGAGGGAATGTGTATGTGTGCATGTTTGAGGACACAAATTTGTATAATGACATGGGTATGACATGGGTATTACAAAGAGAAGGTGATTTATGAGGACATTTTGAGTGTTCCCGTAATTTAAAAGGCTTATAAATAATTTTTTTTAATTAATTATAAAAGCTGCTTTATAACGGGCAAATCACAGTAACATTTTCCAGTACTGAGAAAAATGTAAGAAGTTGTAGCCATTTAATTAAATTTGTAGGATATTATTGTAAAGCATAACTAAGTATTTGTAGTATAGTTGTTGTTGCCACATGCTTTTTATGATCATATTTACTGCACAATAATTGGATGTTTACCTTGATTTTGCTTTATATGCATTTTTTTTAAATAAAAAAAGAAATTTTTAACAACAATGTTATTATTAGTATTGATATTATTAATAATTTTAATAGAAAATAATATTAATTATATAACTTAATTAAAAATGCTAAAAATACTCGATGTATGCTGTAATCATATTTATTTTGTCCCTCTATAACTATTGTTTTTATTCTAACAATATACAGTTCTTCTGGAATACCTTCTGGAGTATATCATATAAGTGCATTGCTATGTCGTTATGTTTAAAATAAATAAATACTATACATTTTTTATCTATTTCTTTCATCACATTATAGGACATTATATATATATATATATATATATATATATATATATATATATATATATTTCAGTCCCGGATGTTCGACACTGCGCTCTGATTGGCTGCTACTGTCTATATCTCCTCGTTCTGTTATCGTTTACATAGGGCTATAGTTTCTAGGTGAATGTGCCACTTAATTGAAATGCTTTAAAAAAAAGTGTTTTTAAAGCAACTTCATTGTGTCTTTCAGTATTGTATGTTGTAAATGTATCAAAGCAATAGGACTCTTTAAGATGCTCTGCTTTGTGAATAAATAGGACACCCTGCGCGTCGTGCCTAACAACGCCTTTTACATAATATTAAATAAAAAATCGGACACTTTTAAAATAGATCTATTATCCTTATTAAAAGTGACGTTTTGTTCCATCATTAACGGGCTTTCTTGGTGTGATCAGGAGAGAGAAGAGCGGAAGAACAGGTGTTGAATGCGCTTTCGGTCTCTAGTCGGGCGTCATTCGGGCGTGGATGAGGGCAGGACCAGGTGAAGCTCTCTGTGAGTCAAACCCTGAATCAAACACAGAGCAGCCAGACGGAGCAGATAGTTGGAGCTTTACGAATTGGACCTCGCCTGTCTCTGGAGTGGAGACAAAAGCCAAAATGATGCCCGAACCTTTAAAATCGGCTCTGTCCATCGGAGATGTGGAGGACACGTCTCTCGCGCTTCCGTCCGACCACGAGCTGAGATCCGCGCAGCAGCGAGTTCTGGAGCAGGTTCACACCATCAAGAGGAGCAAGTCCAAATACAGCAGCAAAAGCGTGTCCGGACTCACTTCCCCCACCAGTGAGTGCACTTCAGCTCGTTCCACCTGCTTTAGACGGAAGCTTTTCATTGTTTCATTCGATAAGCCTATGAGAATACCGCGGTATGCATCTTCACTGGGCTTCATTTTCAAAAACGTTACATGGTATTACCATAAAAAATTCTGTGATACTTTATGGTGAAATCGTGCTACTTGGAAGATTTTGTATTTACCCAGTTTTTGCAATTACTCTAGTAAGTACGTAGTATGTACACGCAAGACTGGATCGTAAAAAGAAATGCTTCTGAAAGATAGTTTGGTTTTAGCGAGGGTGCTGTAGTAATGTAGTGTTTTTGTGCAAGTACTATTACAAAAACAAAATAATTTATAAAGTAAGTAGCCTAATAAAATGATTGAATAAAACCAGTTAATACAGAAGTTAATACAGCATGTTAAAAAATCCTAATATAAACTCTTCTTATTTATGGATAAACCATTATATATAAGCAATTCAATACTGTGAAAAGTGAAAATGAGCATTTCCCCCCCCCTAAAAATCACTTTCATTTTAAACAAAGGTATTTGGTTTCATTCAGTCATATTTAATCATTTCTTTGACATGAATAAAACCAGTTCATTTAGAAGTACAATACGCATGTCAAAAGTCCATTGATTCCTAATATAAATTCTTATTGTTTATGGATAAATCACTATATATAAGCAATTCAGTACTGTGGAAAGTGACAATGAGGAATTTATTTTTTTATTTATTTTAAACCAAGGTATTTGGTTTCATTCATGTTACATAATTTCTTTGCCTTTTATAAAACCAGTTATCTTAGAAGTATGCATAATAAATAGTCCATGATTTCTAATATAAGCTCTTATTGTTAATGGATAAACCACTAGGCAATTCAATACTGTAAAAAGGGAAAATGTGCACATTCTTTTTCTTTCATTGTAAACCAAGGTATTTGGTTTCATTCACTCCTATTAAATAATTTCTTTGACTTGGATAAAACCATAATGCAAGTACTTTTTTTTTTTTCAGTAAAACCCGTTTTCGGAGGACTGTGATCCCTCTTTTTGTTATAGAGAATGAAGTGCTAAACTCTGTAAAATACGTACCTTACTATGTTACATAAGGATAGTTGTAGGTTATATATTTATATTTTTATAATTCAAAATGCCCCTGAATGCAAATTTTATTTGTCGTTTTGCCATAATTCAATTGCAGGCCCTGAAAGTGACGGTGTGTTTTACGACTTCAAGTTTTCTCCCAGCACGTCTCTCAGCGGACCCTCGTTCAGCAGAGGAGGAACCATGACAAATGGGGTAAATGTCATCAAATATGTATTTACAAACATTTATTTGTTCCATATGTGCACTGCGTGCGTTCACACACAAATCTTTGCACATCTTCAAGTGTGTGTAAATTAATTCTGCGTTTCAGTTTCCCACGGTTGGGTGGGTAAAGCAAATTTTTTTCCCATTATTCACTCAGTTGAAAACTTCTCACTGAGTCATCTTTCAGGATAACAATAGAAACATGTGAAATGTCAGATGGCCTTTAGCTTGTAACTTATAACCTGGTTGCACTTATATTTTTTCTGAATTTGAAATGCTATTCTTTCAAAAACAACAATATGAGAGCAGAAAAAAACAATCCATCAAAGACATCAGTGGATGAAAAGCAGTTACTATCTTCACCTAATTTAGTTATTTAGTCTGTAGTGTGTCCATATAGTCATTCACTATTATAACACTTGCATTACAAAAAAAAACAAACCTTCAAATTTGCAACTTTTACTAGTTCGAGATATGCAAGGAAAAAGGCTCAATGAAACCACTCCTTCTTTTTTTCTGACTCATCCCAGTGTTGTATTACCAAACGGCCTGGTTTAGGTATTCTACCAACCCTTCTTTACATTTGGGTGTATCCACTGGAATCTTAATGCTGTCTGTGTTTTAAATGGCTTGTTTGGCTTTAGTAGACCGTTTAATCCAGCTGCATTGTGTTACTTACAATTTTTTTTTTTTAAGTGCATGAAACCCTGTTTTGACATTCTGTAAAAACAGTTTTGTGTTTTGAATTATTCACAGACATACACGTATACAAATCAATCAGTAATTTTCTCACAAACGGCACACTGTTGCTGCATAGTTTGACTAGAAGTAGAACTACTTTGCTTGCATGTTAATCCATGGACGTGCCTGTAGTTATACTTTTGGCTAACACTCTTGTTCAGGCAAAACCGTGGCATGGATTTAATTAAAATGATGGGTTCAGAGTCGTTTTCAGTGTATAATTATAAGATTAGGACTTATACAGTATGATAGCACTAGGTAAAATTCACTTTATTTTTGCATTATAAATGGAATTCTGCATTACACTGTATTACAAATTATGATATCAACATGAACATTTAATTGAAAAATTGACATGTTTCTATGTCCAGACTAGGCAAATGCATGGTTTTCAGTGTGTAATTCTAAAATTATGACTAAAGTCTGATAGCACTAGTTAAAATGCTTTAATTATAAAATGCGTTAATTATACATTTTAATTTGCATTTAATTTTTTGCATTTAGATTTTTTTAAATTACAGCTTTTATATTATATCAATGTGAAAATGCAAGTGAAAAATGGACTTGTTTCTATGTCCAGACTATGCCAATTAAAATGTTGGGTACAGAGTAGTTTATGTAGTTTTCAGTGTGTAAATATAAGTTTAGGACCAAAGTCTGATAGCTCTCCTTAAAATGCTCTATTTTGCATTTAATTGTACATTTATTTTTTGCATTAAAATTTTTTCCATTCTGATTTGAATTAGAAATTAAAATATTAACATGAAATTGAGTGAAAAATTCACTTGTTTTTAGGGCTATATATCGAAATTATCTAAATATCGCAAATGTACATATCGCAATATGCATATCGCTACAGCTTGCAATATCTGGGGCCATGAACAAAAGACAAAGAGAAAATCACTCACTGCTCTTACCTAAATAACTTTTGTAGCTTAAATAAGAATCAGTGCATATTGAATTCAAAGAGTAAATACTAAGCAGTGTTTTATTTCTCCTTTTTATTATTCAGTTCCTAAACTCGTGTTAAAATTATTACACTAATGTTAAAATGACATTTTTATGTAATGCTCGAGTAAAACATACCGTTCACTTTCAGAAGTTGTTGTAGGGGTGCTTTCTTATTAGAATCAGAATCAGAATGAGCTTTATTCAGCACTTAAGTGTGCGCAAACACAAGGAATTTGTTGTGGTTTTACAGGAACTCTTGGTACATACATACATACAAATAACCATATATACTGTATATATGACACAAGATATTTATAGAAGTTCACTGAACTGACTCCGCAACAGCTGAGTAAAACTGTTTCATCTGAGCATGTGGCACTTTAAGCATTATCGTGTCGCATATCGAATATCGCATTATTTAATGAGTTATCGCATTTTTCTTCAATATCGCACAGCCCTACTTGTTTCTATGTCCAGACTATGAATTTTTTCTGTATAATTATATGATTAGGAATAAAGTATACACAGTATGATAGCATGAGTTAAAATGCTTTATTTTGCATTTAATTATAAATTAAAATGTGTGCATTAAATAAAAAATAAATAAAAAAATTATGATATCAACATCAAAATTGAGTGAAAAAATAAATTTTTTTCTCTTTGCATTAAAAAATACATTACAATTTGCATTAAATTTTTTAATGCAGATTATTTAATTACAAATTAGGGTAACAGCATAAAAATTTGAGTGAAAAATTGAAGTGAAAAGGTTGACTTGTTTCCATGTCCAGACTATGCAAAGGCAAGGCTTTATGCGCCAGTCCACCAACTCCCGCAGCTTCAGCGGTCAGCGGGTGACCAGTGGCTCAGGCAAGTTAGATCGGTCCTTCTACAGCGTCAATGGGACCCTCCCTACCCAAACCCGGACCAATAACCAACTGTACAACTACCAAGCCACCCGCAGCGCTCCAGACCTGGGCTTCCAGTCCACCGCCAACGGCGGCGCCGCCAGCACTCTACGCACCCAAACCACCCGACAGACCTTCAACAGGGTGCCGAACAGTCAACCTGCCCAGGCTCTCGGTAATGGCACTTTGGCCAGAATGTCTAACAGCAATCAGGCCATCACCATGCGGGCCGTCAGACGCCCGTCTTCCCTGCAGTCCAACGGAGAGGCCAGGATGTCCTTGATCAGAACCGGACAGGCCAAGGATATCTCTGCGTGAGTTTTGTAGTGTTACGATTATGATGTGATGATCTGTGACCGGTCTCTCACTCACTCATTTGCCGATAGGATGAACGCAGAGAAGCTTCTGGCCGATATGACGATGCAAGATGCGGTTGAATATCTCTACAACACGGAAGAGAGCTTCCAGCTGTGTGGAGCCGCTTACATCCAGCATAGCACCTTCACCGATGACAAGGCCAAGCAAGAGGTCTGGACCATAAACTGCCATGGTTTTACCATGTCTTTTAGACAGAAGTAATGTGTTTTTTTGGGCATTTACCATGGTATTGACAGGGTATCCTTTAAATATATTTGATTATCATTTCAACACCATAATATTTGAATGATATACCATAGTTAAGAATGAATGAATGACCAAAGTACCATCTAATAACATCATGGTATTACCGTGGTGTTTCCATAGTATATTTTTTATGACAATACCATGGTACAATATCCTTGGATTGACAAGAACGTACCAGGCTAATATTTCTATTTAGCTGTGATACTTCAGCTTATTTTATAAAGTTTTGAATCTAAGTTAACAATAGCAACACTGCATCTGATTCCGTCATTGTACTATGGTCTCACCACAGCTCCTTTAACTGTCTCATTTCTCTGTCTGTCCTGCGTGACAGGTGTTGACTCTGAAGGGCATTCCTCCGCTGGTCAACCTGTTGAGCAGCTCCAATCCTCAGGTCCAGGAGACGGTGGCCGCTGCCCTGAGGAATGTGGTCTTCAAAAACCAGGCCAACAAGGAGGAAGTGCAGCGCTGCGGAGGAATCACACAGATTGTGCAGCTGCTCGGCAATTCCAACTCTGAGACACAGAAACACCTGACAGGTGGCCGACCATCTCTGTTTGCATTACATTCATGTCACACACAAGCGCTGACAAGAAGAATATGTCAGCTCAACCATTCAAAGCGCATGAGAGTATGTGTGTCTTCCACTGAAAATATGACTGGCTTTATATCTGAAAATATGGCTGGTTTACATCAGTTGCATAAGTAGTTTTTGTAGTAGTTTGTAATTTAATATTATCCCGCTAAATATTCAGCATTGCAGCACAGGAAAAAAATTACATTATAAAGTATATTCAAATAGAAAAAAGTTATTTAAAAATGTAATAATATTTCACAATATTACTGTTTTTATTGTATTTTTTATCAAATAAATGCAGCCTTAGCAAGCAAAAGAGACTTTTGTTAAAAAAATGTCAAATCTTACTGACCCCAAACTTTTGACCAGTTGTGCACTTTAATTCATAAATATAGTATTATAGCATTGTTTATTCATGCTTGTTCAAAAAACAATAGCTAATGTTCATTTTTGTAACTTGAAATGCTAAAAATGTGTTAATGTGTGTAAAAATGTTCAGAAGACATGAACTAATGTCAGTTTATATATGTACAAATGAACTAGATTACCTACCTATACTATAAGCAAGAAGTACTAGGTTATTAGATTACTACAAGCTAGATTAACAAATGCTGTAAAAATTTTAATATTATCGCTCGTTGTTAGTTTGATACCAAATGCATTAGCTAACATTGATCAATTGAACTTTATTGTAAAGTGTCACCATTAACAAACTTGTTTTGAACCTGGAATAAACTAACAGCAGGGTGCAAATGTACTTTTTAAATCAAACTTATCAAGTTTAAATTTTTATTTAATTTTGTAGGATGATTTTTAGGTTAGTTTTATAGTTTTTATTTAGCTTTTGTTTGTAATTTAAAGTTTTCCTGCTGAAAATTCAGCTTTGCATCACAGGAATAAATTACTTTATTATAACATATATTTAAATACTAAATGGTTATGTTAAATTGTAATAATATTTCACAACATTACTGTTTTTACTGTGCTTTTGATCAAATAAATGCAGCCTTGGTGAGCAGAAGAGACTTCTTTCAAAAACTTTTAAACAGTAGTTTTTTTTTTCCATCTCAAGCTCTCTGTTGGATGGTGTTCGTATCAAACTGACTTGAATTGAATTTTCTGTGGTTGTAGGTCTCCTGTGGAACCTGTCCTCTGCGGATAATCTTAAGGCGGATCTGCTCCGCATTGCCCTGCCCGCACTCACCGAGAAAGTCATCGAGCCGTTTTCAGCAAGTACAGACGACAACTCCAACACCAGCCTGGCACCAGAGGTCTTCTACAACGCCTCGGCATGCCTTCGGTAACATCACACACGCTGCATTCTGTTCTGACTGCTATATGCGATGTAAACAAGGCAAACGTCAGTACTGACTCCACTCATAATACTACTATTGTTGCTGGAGCACAGAATATATTTTCACCAGTAAGCTGTTCAAATATTTTATCTGGATTCGTATTGACTTTGGCACACCTAGAGTTTGATGCCTGTTGGAAACAAAACTTTAAATCACTTTCTGGAATTGGCAAGCTCTAAATTGATTGGCTGGCATTAGGTATAGTACCTTTCAGGTGCACTTTTTTAACGTTAAAACATCCTCTTCTGAGGATGATAACGTTTGCCAGGTTACTGATATTAAAGGGATAGTTCATTCAGAAATGAAAATTACCCCATGATGTACTCACCCCCAATGCATCCTAGGAGTATAAGACTTTCTTCTTTCAGATGAATCCAATCGAAGTTATATAAAAAAATGTCCTGACTCTTCCAAGCTTTATAATGGCAGTGAATGGGTGTTATTTTCCAGTAGTCCAAATGAAGTCCAATAAACGCATCCATCCATCATAAAAAGTGCTCCCCATGGCTCCGGGGGGTGCATAAAGGCCTCCTGAAGCAAATCGCTGCGTTTGTGTAAAAAAAATAAATTAATTAATATTTAAAACTTTATAAACCGTAATCTCTAGCTAGATTGTTGTACTCCCGTTCACAAGAGAGTGGCATTCCAGCGGATGGTGTAGGCATAGCGTAAGCGCCGGTGAGAATATGCTAGTCTCGTGAGAACCAAGTTTTGTTTACAGCAAAGGAAAACTTTGGTCTCTTTTTGGTTTATTTCAAAATCCTCCGACATTTTTCTTTACAGATCCTTGTTTTGTACTTCTAATTCATGACCGGTGTTTTGTTTTGCTCTCTCGTCTCTGCGCTTCCGCATTCGTCACTTCTCACCGGAGCTTACGCTGCGTCATCCGCCGGAACGCCACTCTCTGCGCATACCACTGAGATTACTGTTTATAAAGTTTTAAATATGGACTTATTTTTTTTACAAAAACGCATCGATTTGCTTCAGGAGGCCTTTATTTACCCCCTGGAGCCATGTGGAGCATTTTTTTGGACTAATGAAAAATAACCCCCATTCACTGCCAAGAGCCAGGGCATTTTATTTTATTTTATTTTATTTTATTTTATTGAATATAATGAAAACATGTACATGAATACAAAACATTTGTGTGATTAACTGTGATTAAGTGTAGTGATATCCATTAGTTTAATTTATTTACGATTTTTACCAAAGGTTTATCATGCCTTTTTAAAATCTAGTTTAGTTTTTAAGGAGAGTTCAGTCAAAAATGAAAATTCTGTGATTTACTCACCCTTCACCTTTTCCACAAGTTTCTTTATTCTATTGAACACAAAAGACTTCCGTAATAATTTTTCCATGCTATGGAAGTCAGTGGCTACGGTCAAATGTTTGGTTCCTAACATTCTTCAAAAGATCTTCTTTGGTGCAGAAGAAAGAAACTCATTCAGGTTTGGATCAACAATTTTCATTTTTGAGTGAACTGTCCCTTTAAGTTTTTGGACCATCAGAAATGTGAGGTTGGTCACTTCACGTGTAAGTGGGCGGTTCTTGGCTAGAATGAGCTGCAGTGTTGAATTAGCTGTGCAGTATTGACATAAAGTGTATTTGCACTGCATGACTGTGCTGTAAAGTTGGCAGTGAAGTTATTGGCCACAATTTGTATAGGCTCAGGTTATCAAATTAGCGTATAAACATTGTAACTCACTTCTGTCTTCAGATTGTTTGTTGCTTTTGTGAATTATGAGATCAAAAAACACAATATGACTGTTTCTCCTGTTTGTCAACAGCAACCTGAGCGCCTCCAAACTGGCGAACCGACAAGCCATGCGCAACTGCAAAGGCCTCATCGACTCGCTCATGCGCTACACAGAGAACTGCGTAAATGCCGGGACGCCTGACAACCCGGTAACCGTCTGGGTATTATATGTGCTACTGAACAGAGGCAGCTCATAAAAAACCTGGAAATATTAAGGAATTGCATGAGAGTGAAATTTGACCATTTGTGAGCAAATCGATCTGTTTCTTTGCTTAAACTTCAGTGTTATTGGCTGAATTACTCTATTACGAGTCAGTCTGGATCAAACGATATTTTAAAGCCTGTAATTAAAATAGGAAAAGTCTAAAAGCGTGGGAACCTTGTGTCAGTATTTTCTCTGTAATTGTGCAGTAAAGGAGTTTTAAGATGGCATGAGATGTCAAGTGGGTTTTTTTTTTCTAAGCAAGCATCTTTATAGTCTGGGTGGAGAATGCTGGTGTGGCATTGATGATTTAATAGTGTTTTTACTAAGTTATTATGTAGTGGTGCCCGGAACGTTAAAACTCCCTGAAGGAAAGCGTGTATGAACACAAGGCGTTTCCAGGGGCTAAACTCATGCAGTCAAACTCTATTGTTGTGGCTAGAAAAAATGCTGCATTACTCATATTTAATTGACAGCCAGATTTGATCAGAACCTCGTAAGCATGTTTCAACATCTGCTTTCACTTGATATGTAAATAATCAGCCAATGTCAATTTCCTAAACACACAATGACAGCCACTTAGATCAAACTTGCACATACTTAAAAATCTGGTTGCACATAAAACATTTTTGCAGTTTACTTGAATCATCCTGTGGTGTTACTAATGTAATTTTAAAAGCAAATATTACATGTAATCGCCAAATTATTGCTTAACTATATAAGAGTAAGACAAATGTTGATTAAAGTACTTTATGATGGAGTAAAACACACCACAGGACACGACTGCTGCTGCTTATTTTAATGTCTACGTTTTTATCACAGTATTGGTTATTGTGCTCTTGTTTTTCAGTCTTTGGAGAACTGCGTCTGCATTCTGCACAACCTCACCTACCAGCTGGAGACCGAGATGCCCTCTCTCTTCACTAAAATAAACACGCTGGCCGGTTACGCTCGCAATCGCTCCAGCTCATCAGACACCGGTCCGATCGGCTGCTTCAGCTCCCAGAGCCAAAAACTGCAGCAGGAGGTTTGTGGTTTTACGCCTCATTAAAGCCTACATTTCACAGTTTGATTGCCTGTGAGGTACTTCAGAGATACTGTGATATTACCAGTGTAAGTGTGCAAAAAGCATTGCATTACTATGGATGTTAGTTTTTATTAAGTGTCATCCTTCACGGGTATGTGTTGTTGTGTTTGGTTGTGTTGCAGAGTGGCTTTGACTATCCAGTGATGGAGGACAACAATCCTAAAGGTGCCGGCTGGCTCTTCCACTCCAAAGCCTTGCAGATGTTCCTCAATCTGTTGAGCTCCAGTGAAAAAGGCGCCACACTTGAGGCCAGCTGTGGAGCACTGCAGAACCTCACAGCCACTGATGGCTTAGTAAGACATCAATAATTCTGTTTTAGCACACACCTGGCCATAGGTTGGATGCAGAGTAAATCAAGAATTTTACTATATTATATGTATGTGTGTATATATATATATA